TGCAGTTTGCTAATCCCATGTTGTACAAATGTGCCTTGGAAGCCCAGTGTCCAGTAAGAAGACCGATACTTAATCTTAGTCTATCTTTATCCATAACCAGCAGTTCTTTAGCCCTGCTTGACGATGGCTGACTCATCAAGAGTTTGGCCTGGCGACAGCTTTTCAGTTTCTTCTAAGAGTCCTGGTGCTCTCGCTTCAACCGATCCTTGATGTAATTTTTCCCTACGGCAAAGGGAACGCCGACTTTTTGGCCAGCTGGTTCCTCTAAGGTNCCCAGCTTTGCCAAGCCATCCGNTATCTCATTACCGCGGATACCTTGATGGCCGGGTACCCAGATTAGTGTGATCTTGTTATGATCTCCCAATCTGTTCAGAGCTTGCATGCAGTCCCAAACCACTGATGATTCAGTGGTGGTCTTAGCAAGGGCTCCTATAGCGGCTTTACTATCTGTGTAGATATGGATCCTCCTACTTATGGTTTCCTTTGAGAGCAGGANTCTTGCACATTCCAGGATAGCCAAGACCTCCGCTTGGAAGACCGTGGCTAACCTACTCAGAGAGAAAAACTCTCTGTGATTGTTTCCTGGACAATATATAGCTGCTCCAAAGCGGTTGTTTGCTCCAGATCCATCAGTGAACCACGCATCTATGTTCGGTTGGATCTGTAGGTTTTTATTATACCATTCAGCCCTAGTGGACAGGTTTACAGAAAACGCCTTGTTCACTTGGTATATTCTGGGTATTCTATCTTGCTTCAGTGTGAAGAGAAATTTGTGGAGAAACCTGAGCTTGGTATGACCTGTCCCGAATTGTCTCCACTCCCCCTGACACCTTAGTCTATATGCTGTGAGTCCTGGGNTGCTGATTATTTGTTGATTTAGAGAAGGAATACAAAGTGCTACTTCCAGCGCCTCTGTTGGTGTTGTTCTCATAGCCCCTGCCGCTGTCCTTAGGTAGTTACCCTGTAGACTTTTTAGCAGGTTCCTTGCCTCTGTCATTTCTACTCTAAGCCACCAGACCACAGCAGCATATGTTAATCTCGGTAACAATACCGATTTGTATATCCATAGGACAGCATTCAGTTTAATGCCCCAGGACTTTTCCATTACTCTTTTACACGCCTAAAAAGAGGCGTAAAACTTAGATCTCTTTATTTCGAGATGTGTCTTCCAGCTCAGTTTGGTATCTAGGTAGACTCCCAAGTATTTGACTGACTGGACGTATTCTATTTCCTCATGCC